TAACCCTCCGGAGTCAGCTAAGCTCCTCAGCAACCCTCCTTTGTGGAAATTTTCCACGAGACCCTCCGAAGAAGGTAAAACAACCCCCACAGAGAATTTAGCTTGTTTTGACACCCTCTCAGACTACTTGGAGACCCTTCCAAAAGATATTCGAAAAATTTGAAGTCTTGGAGGAACCCTCCGAAGTAACCCTCCGGAGCATATTAAGCCTCTTTTTGACCCTCCTTAGTGAGTTTAAGGAGACCCTCCGAAGTAACTTGGGTGATAAAGGTACCCTCCGAAGTAACCCTCCGAGGTAAGCTAAGCTTCTTAAAGACCCTCCGAAGTAACCCTCCGGAGTCAGCTAAGCTCCTTAGCAACCCTCCTTAGTGGAAATTTAGGGGTACATTCTGGGGCAAGTTGAGCAACTAGAACATCCATTTAGAATCGGAAAAAAGGTCAACTACCAACGGACGTGCATATTAGGATCACGGGAGCCCATTTGACCCGGAGATTCGTGATCAACTATGGATTCTAGATCGGGTCTGTTAGAAGTACCCGAACCAAAATTTTTTTGTTTGTGATTTTGGTTGTCTGGTTGCCTTGAGCTACTTTATAAGAAAGCTCGGGCAATCCGGGAACACATAAAAGAAGGCCTCGGTGAGTGTATTAGGCATATACACACTCTTTTGAGAAGAAAAAGTGTTCCCTGTTCTCGTGCACTTGGGGCATCCCGAATGTGGGGGAGCTTTTTCATAGACTTTAGAAATTTTTCGATCAGAGGTTGCCTTGAGCTACTTAGTAGGACAACTCGGGCAATCGCAGGACACCTAACAGAAGACCTCGGTGAGTGTATTATGCAAATACACACTCACTTGAGAAGACAGTGTCCTGGGCTTTGATCTTTTGGAGTGTTCCGATTGAGGGAAGTCTTTTTCTTTAAGACTAAGTTTTATTGATCTATTTCCGAATCATCACTGCCTTTTCTTTTTACGAAAGATTGTTTGATTTTAACAAAGCAGTGATTTGATAAGAGTGTGGCGGTAAATTGATACTGACGAAAGGTCGCTGTCACCTGTAGGATATTCTTATCTGATTATCAATTGTGTTTTATGTATTGACTATATCTTGTGAAAATTTTGTGATACTGTTATACTATACAACGGGGTTGAGTTAGCATTATATCAATACTGAGCAGGCCCTGTTTGTAACTTTAGCTGAGTCACTAAGACTATCATTGAGAAATCTAAGAGACTTTCTGATACTGACGAAATCGAGTAGGCAGCGTTAAGTAAATTAACTTGAACTTAGTTGCGGTACGTGTACATCGCCATTGAATTGTACCAATATTACTAATTATTACAAATTATGCAGCGTAGTGACTCGCTAGGATTGACTACTAAGATTCCCAGGTTGAGCACGGGAAGCACGCAAAAATTTAGAACTAGGCGTAGCCAATCTTCGTTTAGCAGCGTTTCCGACGTTTTTGCTGACAACTAATCAACTCAAGGCCAAGCTGATGGAAGTGAAACTGAGAACCGAGAAGACCCTCGATGGCATTCAAGGGCGAAGCGCCGAGGCTGGAATGGCGAGCGAAGCGCTTGTGGACCCCCTTTGACTAAGGGGAACGAACGCTTATTCGACTCGACTTTGAGCCGAGCGAGGACCTCGAACGGGAGGAAGTCGAGAGGACGGACGAGGCCTCGGAGCGTTCCGAGGTCGAGCCGCGAGAGGAAGTGTGTGTCAGAGACTAAGAGTCGTAAGTGGAGAAAAGAACTTTTACATCCGGCCAAAGAACTTTTACAACCCACTCATCTCTGCCAAGCAGAGCAAGAACGCGATGATGTCGAGTATAAGCCCGAGTGAAGAACAAACGGGTTCGAAGGCCAAGAAAAGCTGGAAGTCTTTGTACGATGAGCGCATGGCGTCACTACAAACTGAAGGTCTATCTTCCAGTTATGACCATCCGGAGAGGACCGTTAAAACCGTTACAGCAATTATGGCAAATACAGCGGAACAAACACTGGCGCGAACTCCAGTTGGTACAAACCTCGCGACGACATGGATAAGAGGAGGTCCTGTGCGAATTGTGGCTCGAAGGACCACCATGTTTCCGCGTGTTCTGCTTACCAACAGAACATGAAGGCGATAGGCCACACTCTCGACGACGTTGATGCGTCCGAGGAGGACCACGAAGAGTACGTTAGAGGGCTCATTATGAAGTATGGACCGAGGTGCTTCTTCTGTAATTTGGAGGGACACTTCAAGTAGGACTGCACTCAATTTTGGGATGCAGTGGCGAACGCGAATCATCCCCGCCATGAAGAGGCGCTTTCGGGCGTCAAAGCCAGTCGAGCACGTCTGATGAACGAGGCTGAGTCTCGAAGAATAGAGACAACACCGAGCACTTTTACGACTAAGAAGGTGAAGACCATGCCTGACGAGGTGGTAGCCTCGAGCTTGGAGGCAGAGTTGGCCGGCCCACTCAAGGTGGATTATGGTTTGGCAGCAAGGACAGCGTTGCAGAATGTCCAACAGGAGCTAGCCACGAAGGAAGTTGAGCAATGGGTAAGGTCAGAACTGGACAGCACAGATCTTCGGGAAAAATTTGACATTTTGAGTAAATCAACGAAAGAGAACACACAGGAACCCAGAAAGCAGGGACTAAATCTAAACGTCATATCGGGTAGAACTTTCGGCATGACGAAAAAAGGGACGAATATAATGTCCATTATCTCAGTCGCAGGACACCAGGTGGTCAAGAACTTAGGTGAACCGTCCGAGAATACGCTGGTTTACCTGGACATTTATGCAGACTACCTGAGGGAGAAGGATCCCAAGCTGGACTCCAGGGCAGTGCGAGCGCTGCTCCCGACAGGAGGTCCGAGGCTGATGAAAGTGGATGGACATTACATCGAGGTCCATTGCCCATATCCGATTCTGATGAATGTGGACGGCATCAATATCTACACAAAAGCTCACGTAACTGATGCGAGTGATCAAGTAGGCCGGATATACATTGGCCAAGAAGAGCTGAAGGTGCGACGAATCGGACACAATGCCAAGATTGAACAGGATGCGGTTCACATAGGTTGCGAAGGCGATCTGGCAGCCCGTGTGCTAGATGTGCAGGGCAGACAACTTTCAGTGAAAGGATTGTTAGACACGGGTGCAGTGGTCAGTGTCAGCGGTCTAGTTGTTCGAATTTTCGCGAGCGACCAACAGAAACAGAGTTAGCAGCGAATAAACCGGTCCTACCTGAGATAGAAAATTTGAAGGCAAAGTATCAGACAAGGAACTAGATTCGCTCAGGGCGGTGCTAAGTCGGAACGCAGACGTTTTTTCGAAACATAAGGCCGACATAGGTTGCTGTAATTTTGTAGAACACGAAATTGAGATAGAGGATGGCTCGGTACCTCATAGGGAAGGGGCGAGGAGAATGACCCCTCATAAGTCGGAAGCGTGCATGTTCGAGCCATCGAAGTCCCCGTGGGCTTGAGGCGTGGTCATGGCAAAGATCGTCAAAACCTGGACTGATATGGGCTTTGACAGTTCGGATCTGATACCGACAAACATCAGACTGGCAGCTTCCAATCAGGGAGCAATCTATGTGACAGGACGGACCCCGATCATATCACTGCAGCTTGGAGGAAGACATCTTTGTATGAGCTTCCTGGTGGTGAAAAATTTGGACTAATCCGATCAATTCATCCTGGGAAGGGACTTCGTACGCAACTTTGATGTCACGATCGACCTCAATGACGGGTTGATCAGGACCAAAGATCCGGAGAGGAAGTATGAAAAGAAACCTCATAATAAGATCCTAATTAAACAGGCTAAGGTGCCAATTTTTCTGGATCGAAAAGTGAGATTGAAACCAAAACAAGCCGTGGTAGCGACGTTTAGGATGAGGAATCTAAATGAACTCAGTAATGACAGACAGGTGTGTCTGGTACCAAATCCAAACAGTAAGAGCTCGGCTATTTTAGGAAGAAGTTTCTCACTCATTCAGAGCGGACTGTCTGTGAGTGTGTTGTTGAACACAGAAGCAACAACAGTGACAATACAGAGGGGAAAGAAACTTGGCTACGCATTGCCTCTGAACACAGACTTTTAGAGTGTGGAGAACTTGAAGAAGTTTGATGTAACTAAATGTCCCTTGTATGCGAACCAAGAATGTATACTGAAGATAGTAATTGAATTGAAATCTTCTAGAAAAAAGTTTTCAATGAAGTCGGAAACAAATGATGGATTGTCTAGTTGTTCGAATTTTCCCGAGAGACCGACAGAAACAGAGTTAGCAGCGAATAAACCGGTCCTACCTGAGATAGAACATTTGGAGGGAAAGAATCGGACAAGGAACTAGGTTTGCTCAGGGCGGTGCTAAGTCGGAACGCAGACGTTTTTTCGAAACATAAGGCCGACATAGGTTGCTGTAATTTTGTAGAACACGAAATTGAGATAGAAGAGGGCTCGGTACCTCATAGGGAACGGGCGAGGAGAATGACCCCTCATAAGTCGGAAGCGTGCAGGAAGGAAATCGAGATGATAGTGGAGTACGACATGATCGAGCCGTCGAAGTCCCCGTGGGCTTGTGGCGTGGTCATGGCTAAAAAGAAAGGGGGCAACTCAGGTTTTGTTGTGATTTCCGTTATCTGAACGCAGTGACTATAAAGGACGCATACCCGGTTCCCCGCTTCGATGAGAGCCTATCCTAGCTGGGGGACGCGAAGTTCTTCACGACCTTAGATTTGGGTTCGGCGTTCTGGCAAGTGCCACTCCGAAAGCAAGATCGTAAGAAAACGGGCTACGCGTGCGAGCTGGGATTGTTCCAGTGGAAGAGGATGCCGCTCGGATTGTGCAACGCGACGGCCACATTCCAGCGACTGATGGCCCTGGCACTCACGAGTGTGACAAAGAAATACTACGGGAATCTCATCATGTGTTACGTCGATGATGTCGTGATCGCAACGCCAACCCTAGAGGATCGCATAGAGAGGTTGGATGAGGTGTTTACTTGAATGAAGCAGGCGGGTCTGAAGTGTAAACCCTCAAAGTATGAGATCCTCAGAGACTCCATAAAGTATCTAGGCCGCCTGGTGGATAAGCCTAGAGTGAGACCAGATCCCGAAGCGGTCGAAGCGGTTTTGACCTGGAAGGCTCTCAAGACAGATACACAACTGATGAGATTTTTTGGGTTTGCTAACTATTATCGGGAGTTCGTCAAGGGATACGCCGACAAGATATACCCCATGCAACAATTGATGAGAAATAAAGGCAAAAAGTTCACTTGGACTGGAGATAATGAGCGGGCAATTAAACGTGATAAAGACGTATCTGAAAGCCAGATACCGGCTGTCGGACCTCCTAAGGGCTCAACGAAATGACAGAATGACGAGCAATCTGACAAGATGGATCGAGAATGGAGCACCTGACAAAGGAGATTTGGAAGAAGACAGCTATGAGATCTTGAAGCAGTTCTACCTGAAAAGAAACGATTTGTTGTACCTGAACAAAGACGGAATCGTAGCCTGTAAACGTAAGAGGAGGACAAGGTCCTTTACAAGTACAATTCGGTAGTTTTACCACAGTTGTACCAGACTGAATTGCTCTTTCGTTCACCTGACCAGATGGGCCATCAAGGTTTGGACAAAGTGTACAACAGGATACAGAAACGATTCGAATGGCCTGGTTCGAAGAAGGCTTGTGAAAATTGGATCTCTGCATGCTTGTCGTGTCAACAGGTGAAAGACCCCAGGAAACTAAGATTCCCTCTGCAGTCAATAGAGTCACCGGGATTCAATGAAGTAGTGCAGATTGATCACCAGAAGATATGTATGACAGCCACGGGCTACAATCAGGTGCTAGTAATGATTGATCATTTTACGAAACATGCAGAGGCAGCATGCTGCATGACAGCATCAGCGGAAGAAACATGCGATCACTTGATATATGTGTGGATAGCGAGGCACGGCTGCCCCATCACATGACAACCGGACAATGGCAAAGCATTCGTGGGTGATCTCACGAAGGAGTTAATGAAAAGGTCGCAGGTAGCACAGGCCCACTCGGCCACTTATCACCCGCAAACGAATGGCCTAGTCGAGAGGCAAAATCGCATGCTGGTATCCATGTTGAGAGTCTATTGCTCACGCTACATGGATGACTGGGATAGACACTTGCCGCAAGTGATGGGTGCTTACAACTGCACAGAGCATTGCACCACGGGAATAAGTCCGCATATGATGCTAATGGGTCACGAAAAAGCGCTTCCGTTGACGTTTTCTACCCTGAATATGAAGGGAAGAGAACAGCACCAGAAACGTACGTGCGTGATGTCATTAGAACACAGCAGGACCTCAATGACTTACGCAGGAGGAACACGCAACAGGCGCAAATTAGACAAAAAAGGAGGTTTGATAAAAGGACTGCCGATGCAAAAGCCTACTCAGTTGGCGGTTACGTCTGGGTATTCCAGGAAGTAGTTCCACCAAAAGGAACCAAAAAAATTATTAAAAAAATGGCGTGGCCCATTTCAAATAACAGAAGTGCACCAAGGAGGTCGGTTTTATCGAATGAACAAAGGAAGAGCAGCTCATTACGAAAACATCAAACCGAACAATGCCTCATCAGAGGACTGGTGCAACCCAGCGGACATGCAAGAGGGAGACTATTTGATTGTGGGTCCTGCTTGTGAGGTGAATGAAAGAGGTACTCGAGACAAAAACGACGGAAATGAGGTGGTGGATGATTGCGATCTACCACTGGACCTGGAGTTGACCGAGCAAGTAGAGGTGGACGACGAAACTCTACCTTATGCCGAAGAGGACTGGGACTGCCCAGAACAAACTGAATTTGACAAAGAAGTACAACCTGACTTTCCTCTCACCATGGAGACACGCCAGAGCAAGAAAGGAAGGAGCAAGAAAAAGTACAACCCGTATGGCGAGGATTTCGTCATAGACATGATAGTTTTAAGTGATTTGATGGACTCGCTGGTAGGACTGGATGAAGTAACAGTGCCAAGAGAGATCGACTTGGTAAATGACATGGATCAGGATTTGATCGACGATCGCTCCGAACCAGAAGTAGAGTTCGAAGCAGAGGTGGAGCAGACTCATGAGCAAGAATGAGAGGTGGAGGTGGAGCAGACTCATGAGAACTTGCGAGTGCTCGAATGGCTCCACGATCTGCCAGCAGATCCTAAAGAGACAATCTTGACGATTCAGGATGTCGATAAAGACGACATCAAATAACTTCACGCCGTGCCCAAGGAGGGACATGGGCAGGAAGGCGTTGTCCGCCTCGCCGACCAGGCCCATGTCTGATCACCGACCAGGCCGAGAGTCGATCAGACTCAATTGATTCGCAACACCGATCAATGCCTGGCAGAGAGCTTGGCACAGGCAAACAAGGAGTCAGAGGAAAGAGAAGCTAGGATGATATGAGAGATCGAGCGATTGTTGAACGAACATGACAAAACCTATGCCCATACGGTGACTAGCGTGGAAAAAAGGTTAGATGCCAAATCTGACCTGATGATGCGGAAGCTTGACGAGATCTTAAACGGAAGTAATTGAAAGGAGCGTTCCAACCCAAGGGAACTCCAGTTGGTACAAACCTCGCGACGACATGGATAAGAGGAGGTCCTGTGCGAATTGTGGCTCGAAGGACCACCATGTTTCCGCGTGTTCTGCTTACCAACAGAACATGAAGGCGATAGGCCACTTTCTCGACGACGTTGATGCGTCCGAGGAGGACCACGAAGAGTACGTTAGAGGGCTCATTATGAAGTATGGACCGAGGTGCTTCTTCTGTAATTTGGAGGGACACTTCAAGTCGGACTGCACTCAATTTTGGGATGCAGTGGCGAACGCGAAACATCCCCGCCATGAAGAGGCGCTTTCGGGCGTCAAAGCCAGTCGAGCACGTCTGATGAACGAGGCTGAGTCTCGAAGAATAGAGACAACACCGAGCACTTTTACGACTAAGAAGGTGAAGACCATGCCTGACGAGGTGGTAGCCTCGAGCTTGGAGGCAGAGTCGGCCGGCCCGCTCAAGGTGGATTATGGTTTGGCAGCAAGGACAGCGTTGCATAATATCCAACAGGAGCTAGCCACGAAGGAAGTTGAGCAATGGGTAAGGTCAGAACTGGACAGCACAGATCTTCGGGAAAAATTTGACATTTTGAGTAAATCAACGAAAGAGAACACACAGGAACCCAGAAAGCAGGGACTAAATCTAAACGTCAGATCGGGTGAAACTTTCGGCATGACGAAAGAAGGGACGAATATAATGTCCATTATCTCAGTCGCAGGACACCAGGTGGTCAAGAACTTGAGTGAACCGTCCGAGAATACGCTGGTTTACCTGGACATTTATGCAGACTACCTGAGGGAGAAGGATCCCAAGCTGGACTCCAGGGCAGTGCGAGCGCTGCTCACGACAGGAGGTCCGAGGCTGATGAGAGTGGATGGACATTACATCGAGGTCCATGGCCCATATCCGATTCTGATGAATGTGGACGGCATCAATATCTACGCAAAATTTCACGTAACTGATGCGAGTGATCAAATAGGCCGGATATACATTGGCCAAGAAGAGCTGAAGGTGCGACGAATCGGACACGATGCCAAGCTTGAACAGGATGCGGTTCACATAGGTTGCGAAGCCGATCTGGCAGCCCATGTGCTAGATGTGCAGGGCAGACAACTTTCAGTGAAAGGACTGTTAGACACGGGTGCAGTGGTCAGTGTCAGCGGTCTAGTTGTTCGAATTTTTGCGAGCGACCGACAGAAAAAGAGTTAGCAGCGAATAAACCGGTCCTACCTGAGATAGAACATTTGAAGGCAAAGTATCAGACAAGGAACTAGATTCGCTCAGGGCGGTGCTAAGTCGGAACGCAGACGTTTTTTTCGAAACATAAGGCCGACATAGGTTGCTGTAATTTTTTAGAACACGAAATTGAGATAGAAGAGGGCTCGGTACCTCATAGGGAAGGGGCGAGGAGAATGACCACTCATAAGTCGGAAGCGTGCAGGAAGGAAACCGAGATGTTAGTGGAGTACGACATGATCGAGCCGTCGAAGTCCCCGTGGGCTTGTGGCGTGGTCATGGCTAAAAATAAAGGGGGCAATTCAGGTTTTGTTTTGATTTCCGTTATCTGAACGCAGTGACTATAAAGGACGCATACCCGATTCCCCGCATCGATGAGAGCCTATCCTAGCTGGGGGACGCGAAGTTCTTCACGACCTTAGATTTGGGTTCGGCGTTCTGGCAAGTGCCACTCCGAAAGCAAGATCGTGAGAAAACGGGTTTCACGTGCGAGCTGGGATTGTTCCAGTGGAAGAGGATGCCGCTCGGATTGTGCAACGCGACGGCCACATTCCAGCGACTGATGGCCCAGGCACTCACGAGTGGGACAAATAAATACGGTAATCTCATCATGTGTTACGTCGATGATGTCGTGATCGCAACGCCAACCTTAGAGGATCACATAGAGAGGTTGGATGAGGTGTTTACTTGAATGAAGCAGGCGGGTCTGAAGTGTAAACCCTCAAAGTATGAGATCCTCAGAGACTCCATAAAGTATCAAGGCCGCCTGGTGGATAAGCCTAGAGTGAGACCAGATCCCGAAGCGGTCGAAGCGGTTTTGACCTGGAAGGCTCTCAAGACAGATACACAACTGATGAGCTTTATTTGGTTTGCTAACTATTATCGGGAGTTCGTCAAGGGATACGCCGACAAGATATACCCCATGCAACAGTTGATGAGAAATAAAGGCAAAAAGTTCACTTGGACTGATGAGGCACAAATTTCATTTGAAAACATTAAACGTGAACTTTGCGAGGCACCAGTCCTCGGCATGCCAACAGAGAAGGGGATGTTCGTGTTAGACACGGATGCATCAGTAGTTGCGATATCAGGCATACTTCACCAGGAGCAAGAGTGGAACGGGAGAACGGTTCTCCGTCCAATAGCCTACGGAAGTAAGGTTTTGAGCGATATCGAGATGAAGTATGGCGCACCAAAAGCGGAAATCTTCGCGGTGATCACTTTCAGGGAAAAAACAGGGCCTACTTGGGGAGTGCTCCTTTCAAGTTGCGTGTGGATAATCGTGCCCTTGCCTGGCTGAAAACCCATTTGATGGACCAAAGTTATATTGGTCGTTGGATCGTGCGCCTGGATGGATACCACATGATCATAGAGCACCATACCCGTGACAAGCATCAGAATGCTGATAGCCTCAGTAAAAAGACAGAATTCTATAAGCGCTTCGATGAGAAGCAGGCTAACCAAGCGGATATCAAAGACGGGTTTTCATTCCTAGACAAGGGGACCTACGACAAACTTTCACTCACTAGATGGCTGGATAAGTCAGGGCACC